TCCCTACACAGCTAGCACTCGCATCACATGATCTATTCTTGACTACTGAAAGCCGAGGAAAATTTGTTTTTGAATTATAATCCTTTTTCAGTACTCTAAAAGATAACATTATGAATACTATAAATAACAACTTGTAGTAAACATGGGTAGGGTTAAAGTTAACTGAATATGTAAATATGCCAAAAAAATGCAAAATAAAATGTTTTGTGTATTGTTTAATTAATTCATGACAATTGTTTTGACAATACCAATTTTTCAAATGATTTTTTTTATGAATTTACTTGGTACTAATTAAAAATATTACCTTTGAAATGAGTTCATTGACTACAGATGCTGAGCTGCTAACATCACCAACACCAACTAACAAAGGGCAAATTACACAAATTTAGTGACCTATATACCACTTGCACAAACAGACCTTTTTATTCAAAAGGCTGCCATCTGGAATTTTGAAGAAATTATGTGATATCCAGGGAGCAAAAGCATGCACACATTGTCATATAGAATTGTCCAAAAATTCTTTCATTGTGAAAATTTTGGGCTTCAAAAATTACAAGTGACATTGCAGAATTTAGAAAGGAAAGTTTAACAATTATATAAGAAACGTTGTCATAGAAAATAGAACATTTGAATTTAGTAAAAAGGAATTAAATTAAAATAAGACAAAAGAAAACGCTCAGCCTCAGTGATCTTTTTTCTTTTAATTTATTCCTTTTACTTAATACTTGTAATGTACTATTTTCTATGACAACGTTTTCGCAAGTAGGTGTTTGTATATTATATATAAAGTCATTAAGGGACCGTTCATTAAATATGCCTCAGGGTGGTCTGGAGGAAAAGTAAAAAAAAACCTTGGGAAAATTTGCAGCCCCCCTTACTCAATCACAATATTTTTTTCGATCCCCCCAGGCCTCCTTCTGACATTGGGGAAAAATAGCCCCTTCCCCTCCCATATGTACAGTATATTAAAGCAATGTAAAATAGCTAATCTTAAAACTTTAAAAGGAGTCACAAAAAAGCAAGTGAATGCATATGTGATTAGACCTCTATAAAAAAAGTAAAGTTGTTGTTTAAAATGATCATTGATAAGAAATGCATAAAAATAAAAAAAATTGATATTACATTGTATATACTATACATACTTTAATTTNATAAACAACAACAACAACAAAACCCTAACCCAATAACCTTAATCCTCTAACAAGTCAACAATTATGTCTTATGCAAAAGCACTGAACAAAGACATGTTTTGAAAGAAAATACCAACAAAGCTGCAATATCAACTCGACGGGTACATACCTCGGTTAATTTGAACTCGTACTGGGACCCTTTCTTGGGTAACTGGCTGGCTTTTTTGATTCCCTCCCTGGAAGAGAAAAATATAAAACCTACATTTATGCATAACTTATGAAAAAGTGTCAAACACTTTTTTTCCAAAAGTTCTTTTTTCTGTTCTAACCTGTCAAGACTTCCRCGCCGAGAATCCGGGTTTGAATTTGACGTTTTTCCTTTGCTTAGRTCTGAGTTCGAGCCGTTTAATGACCCTCGAGAGCTTGAATTTTGAWTACCCTTCGGGGCAGGTGCACTCTGTATAATTAAGTTGTTTTCCAATCTTTGACTGTGAATGAAAGAATATAAATGAAAAAAAATGAAAGGATGGGGAATTGAAATAAAAAATGAAAAAAAAAACTGAATAAAAGAGTGAAAATTAAAAGAAATGAAAAGAAAAATTAATAAGTAATTCACTAGAAAAGTTTATTAATCTATGTAATAGCTCGAGCGCTCTGACTGGTCCAAGAGCGGAATTTATTCCCCTGCTAAACGTATGCTCGCGAATATAACTAACTTTCTATATCACAAAAGGAAAGATGAATACTCCAATTTCGAGTTCTGGTTTGCTCTGTGTTAGCCTTAAAACCAAGTAACATATTCTTTTGTTTTATTGATAGCCTGTGAAAACGCATGGAATTTGAAAAGAAAGACAATAGAATTGATATGAAATCTCACACTTTTATTCTCACAATTACGAATATTTTGCGCACAAATGAGGCTACTAAAGAGCATTGGGGAATTCGAAACTGGATTATTGCCGTGAATTGTGTAAGGATGGAATAATGTAATTGAGGATTTTGGAAGAACACTCAAAAACTCCAATATCATACACAATACGCTCGCGAGTTGTAAGTCGTATTCTCACAACCAAAGTGATTTATCTCAATGCACGGTGCCGTAATACGAGCAGCAAAATCGTACGACTTGTCTAGCAAAATTGCTGCAAGACAAGCTGGATTGTTATAGTAATAACGGCAAACATCTTCGAGTTTTATCAAAAACTGAATAAAAATATTCGTCACTAGCCTAAGATTTTTTTCATTAGTAATAAAAAACGCAGATATGTTTCGGTCAGAACTCTGACCTTCCTCAGTGTGCTGTAATAAAAGAGCTTTTGCATGCATACCCTTCCTAGCTGCAATTTTCGAGTTTTGTTGCAAAAAGTAGAATCATCTTTTACTTCCTGCAGCAAACATTTTCAACTTGCAACAAAAATCAGTTTTGCAGCGAAAAAAAGTTGGTTCGCCGCTAGTAAAACGCGCAACAAGTTGTACGATTTCCCTGCTCGTATTACCGTCCTTTAATTAAAACGCGCAACATCGCTTTCCAACTTGCCTTACAGCAATGCCTTGCGAGACAAGTTGTACGATTTTGCTGCTCGTTTTACCGTTCCTTCACTGAAAACTCGAAATCTCGAAAAGGTTCTTGAATGTGTGCATTTCATTTCTTACTTTTTCACTTTAGTTACAGGAGCAAAGACACCAAATCGAGGTTTACATGTAAAATATCTCACTCCACCGACTGATCCGTCATTTTTACCAACAGGTTGGTCAAGTTCCACGCCAAGCCAAAACCTGAATTACAAAATATCTKATGAATKWCGMCGCGTTGAGGCTAACCCTGTATTCCCAGAAGTCTTTTAAGAAGACTTTTAACCCTAGGCCTTTTGGGAATGCAGGGGTAGTCTCAAYWCGGRGAAAATGAAGTTTTCAAGRCTATTGTAATAACGACATTTTCTCGTGCTCTCTTGTCTTTGCGCAAGACGAGAATCTGTTGTCAAATAAAGTAGCGGTTTTTCGCTTGAATTCGAAAATGAAGTATTAAGTTTTGACAGAAGCCCATTACTAATAGGCTCCTGGCTTTGATGGGAGCTCTGAAAGTGGATGGAAAAAGTTACAAATTAGCAATAAACTTACCCAGGCGCGAACTGTGTTTGTCCGATGTATTGAACGTGACCTGTTTTTTGCCCTGCCACAACAACACGATCTCCCAACTACAAGGAATAGCAAACCATTAATTGAAATCTAACTTTACATACATCAAAGGAAAGTAAAAAGACAGGACGGTATTTCAGTGTTGAATCAGTAAGGAACTATGGGAACTATATCCAGTGTGCTCAAAACAAGAAATGTTTCAAAATATTTCATTTAATATTTCAAAAGCGAAAGCAAAAGATGAGTGTTATTTCAAAAAATTCATACACCGGCAAAAACATAACACATGGAAGCTTTCAAACAATATTTCAAAGAAGGAAACGCAAAATCATCAGCAAAAAGCAAGTTTTCGGAACTATTC